CTCCCGCCCCAGGACCCAGTGTCACCTGCTTTTGGTCCCTTTCTCCATTCCTTCCAGGGCAGCCGCACAGGGCTCACCCCCTCCACACCGCTCACCCCTGTGCACACGCTCCTTCAGCAGTCAGTCTACCAGGGGTCCTCAAACTACGGCCCGCGGGCCACATGCAAATACAAATATTGTATTTGTTCCCGTTTTGTTTTTTTACTTCAAAATAAGATATGTGCAGTGTGCATAGGAATTTGTTCATAGTTTTTTTTTTTAAAACTATAGTCCGGCCCTCCAACGGTCTGAGGGACAGTGAACTGGCCCCCTGTTTAAAAAGTTTGAGGACCCCTGGAACTTCTCCTCACTCAGGATGGCCAGGGATCTCTCTCTCCCTCCAGGACCTCTACTCCGAACTTCAGACCTGCCTTCCTCCTGCCTGGTGGGCAGTTTCACCTGCATCTTTATATCCATGTGTCCAAAACCTACCCTTCTCATCTTCCACCCTCCTCTCCTTTCTGTTATCATTGATCATCAGTTCTGGTAAGTCAAGCTGAGAACCAATGTTATTTTTTAGAGTTGGGTACCTCGGCCGAGAGGCCGTCCAGGGCCCTAGTCCCAGCTCCGTTCTGGCTTTCTGAATGACTTTGGACAAGTCAGCGGAACTTTTTGAACCTGTTGCCTCTCACGTATTAGGAAAGCCCAAGCAAGAACTGTGATCAAGGTTTTCCAGACATCGTCTCACGAAGGATGAACACATTTGTAAGCAAGAGCTGGTTAGTCGCAGGGGCTGGGCTCCAACCAGCACGTAATGCGAAATCCAGAATCCGTCTTTTCCATTACACTGCAGGGCACGCTCTCTCCCCACGCCCTCGCAGCTGGACCTAGACTACGCCCTGCGAGCTGCCGGCGGCCTCCTTCCGACGCTGTTTGCTCACCTCTCCTCGCAGGGACTCCGCGACCGCCAGGGACCGCGCTACCCCGCCGGGATCCCAACGCCCAGCCCACAAGTAGGGAGCCGGGCTTCCGGTTCCCCGCGGCACCTCCCCTAGCGGGTAGCTCCGCCCCCTGCTCCGTGT